GTATGACCCCGTGTGCGAAGAAGTTGGCCCGTACTTCTAACCTGGCGTGGTGCAGTTGGAGTTTATAGCCACGACCTCTCGTGTTTTGAGCACAAGAAATTGTAAACAAGTCATCTGAGCTGAGTCCCGATAGACCTCTTAAAGTTTTAAGTCTCTATCAGATCTCCCCTCATTTGTCTACGCCCCAGCGTAAAGAGATTTAGAACTCGTATTCGCTGCTCATAGCTTTTCCCCTTTTGCCCAGTCACCATTCGGGTGGCTAGGCGTTGCACTCGCTCTAAGCACGTTACATCTCTCCTGTAATACGGTGCCCATGCCTGCACACAATATTCCATGTGTAGGCACACAATCGATTTATACAAGGGGATGAAACCTCAGACCTTCTGCATGTCACTGTGGCACACAACCTTGACAGCTTCCCCCTAGCCTGATGAGCAGCCTTAGAACACTGAGTTGAGGGTCTCAAATTCTTGGGTCACAAAACCCCTAGACCTTCCATCTGCAGGACCTGCTGCATGGGAGCCCCATTTAACGAATATGTCCCATCCCTCGTTGCTAGGAGCTTAGGTTCAAAGGTAAGTCCCACTTGACTGACCATCGATGGACTACCTCTATATCCCTTTGTAAGTCTAATCCTGTCATTTTGACATCATCAGCAAACATGAAATACGGATTTTGAAGATCCTGTGCCAGATCGTTGATGAATATGAGAAAAAGTAAGGGGCCTAGCACGGAGCCCTGGGGGACCCCACTTGTAACCATCTCCTGGTTAGAAATGTAGTCACCAACCTTGACCCGGAAGGTGCGATTACTCAAAAACGCTACAATCCAGTCCCTGGCTTCACCCGTTATGCCTAAGCTCCGAACCTTGAAGTCTAACAACCGATGGCTGACAGAGTCAAAGGCTTTACAGAAGTCTAAGTAACAGACTTCTATATTTTTCTCCTCATCCATTCGTTTAGTGACTTCATCTAGGAACACAAGCAGATTCGTGAGACATGATTTCCGTTGCACAAAGCCATGCTGTGCCTGTGTCAGGAGTCGATTGCTAGTCAGATGTAGGTAAATCTGCCTTCTGATCAGCCGATCCAGGCACTTACACAGCACTGACGTTAGGCCAACGGGTCCATAGTTTTCTGCTTTGTGTTTCGGTCCAGTCTTGCCAGTGCTACCACGGTAGCTGTACGTCAGTCCTGA